AAGCACCTGGTCTAACTCGCAGCTCCGAGAATGGATTAGCACGAACGTAGGTTGCACACCAACAATCTCCTGTATCAACAACTAACTCTCCTCAGTCCGGTTCTCCCGAGGTTTCCGCCCAGATAGTCGCGCCGCATGAGACTGGTAAACAGTTGCTCCGTCTTCCTGTGCCCGAGTTCCTCATGCGCTGCCTCAAGACACCAGGTGTGACGCAGGAGCAAGCCACTGCTTTCCAGGCCAAGTTCTGGAGGCTTCACGTCGATTCGTCCGGCTCGGGCAGTACTAAACCTAGCACAACGTCGAAATCCAATACCACGGCTTCCCAAGTCAGTGCAGAAGAAGAGCACAAGGGTCTCTCAAGCCATGATGCGAGGCCCGACGCGGCGAATATCCCATTTAAAGAACGCATCCGGCCTGGGATGATTGTGAGCTGGAATCCACCCGACGATACTCCAGGACACTACCGTCTCCCCGGCCGGAACCTAGTGATGGTTATGGCTCCTGAAAGAAGTTCTGACCAGGACCAGTCTGGCGATGGGGTCACGTATCGATGCTCTGTAGTTGTCCCTGCCGTGATGCCGGGGGCATTTGAGGTATATTTGTGGCAGCAAGTATTGGTTCCTACCAGCACGATAGAGGCCGAGGTTCTATTGGAGTACGATGTTGCTACAAGGTATTACTACGAGACGGTGTGAGGGCAGCTACAAGGGTTTGTATAATTCGGATAATAACCGAGCTACTACCTCGGTTTCTTGTTGCAGTTATTAGAAATGTATTATTACTCTAATTACCTCCCATCTCCAGGCTCAGCATGTGGCTCCCTCACCATGGTAAAAAGCTTGATAGCATCACCATCGTCGTCACAAATCATTTCCTTCACAAACTTGAATCCCCACCGCCCATATATTGCCATGTTGGGAACATCGCGACTCGACTCCAAGTAGCACCTCATGTTTTCGGCATCGGCCTGGTCTGTAACAGCCTTCATCATCTTGGCACCGACGCCCTTGCCCTGGGCGTCGGGGAGAACGACCATTATGTTGAGGAAATAATATCCTCGTGGGTCAGTCCAGATGTCGGATTGCGCTTTTGCTTGAGCATCTTTCCAGATGTAGTACCGCTATAGAAGATAACATGTTAGCATTACAATAATGAACCCACGTTTCACAACCCCAGGGTATCAATTCTTCTCCTCCTAGAAACCGAGTTCGCGGCAGGGGCATGGACATGTTATGTTACCTTGACATTCAATCCTCCACGTCCGTAGTAAAGATTCATAGCCACTTGGCTCAAATAAAGGCGCCAGCCTTCAAGCCAGTCATTCCAGGTGGGAGGCAAATCGGCCGGCTGAGGTCTCATCCACATGGCCACACCTAGCACCTTGTCACTGCCCTCTTCCCTGGCGACATGGAAAATGCCGTTTCGCATCCCCCATCGCATTCGAATGCCGAGAGAGACTGAATTTCGCTGCGAGTTGAACTTGTTACGTTGCAATGTCAGTTCGACGTAATGTCTCGGTCTGCAACGGGAGAATCGGCATAAACAGACACGGAGGAGTTCAGGAAGTTTGGACTGTAACTGACTTTGCTATGGTCATAAACCCATTCATTGTATGGATCCTTAGCGAATGCGTCCCTAAGCGCGCAAGATTATCAGCATACGAAGAAGGAGTAAATGAAAGGAGCAGTGCGAAAAGACATCACTGGTTCTACAATACATCATAGGAGCATAACGTATGCACGGAACCAAGAAATTGTAGTCACTTACTGGACGGCTTTCACGGCCCCGGGAATGTCAGATTCCTTAAGATCGGTAACATGGATTGCCATACTTTCGGCAAGTAGAAGGATTTAAGCGATAGGATTGGATAGAAGTGCGGCGGGAATGTCGAATGAACAGTCAGAAAGGCAGCAACATGCCGGAGTCAATAAACAGGCAGTGGTGGTGATGAGCGGGGGCTTGAGATCTTCGCAAAAACTTGCCCAATGTGGTAGGTCAAAACGAGTCAAGATAACAGTCAAATGTAGCGGCATCCACTCTGATTCTAATCTTCCTTCTACTGCAAGGAGTGAAAAGGCCATACCTCGCCCGCCTTCAAAAACCACCACCACGCGAGGCACGGGTCATAGGGGCCAATCTAGTGCTCACAGAAGCTATATGTGACCCCCTCCCAGCCCTCTGCCACCCCGTCCTGAACAGCAGTCCGGACATCCATCAACTTCAGCCGATGCTCCTTGGCCTCTTCCCAGCTCATTGGCATTTCATTTCCATTTGCAAACTCCTCCTGGACCATGGCAAGGATCTCGGCTGGCAGTGGTCGCCCGCCCTTAACGGCAGCTTCCAACCCAGGGTGGTTTCGAACCTTTGAGAGAAGCAGTTCCGCAATCGCCGGTGGCACTTTTTCGGCGTTTGATTCATCAAGGTTTCCAAAAGCGCGCTCAAGCCACCAGCTTTGCTGCTGAGGAGGAACGTTGGCCGTGCTGATGATGCGGGTTTGTGGATCAACCAACCAGAGGGCAATGAAGCGTCGGTGGCCTGGCTTCGTCTTATCCTTGAGCTCGAAGGGCGATACTCGGTGGTGGAAGACGTTGGGAAAGGCAAGTAGCCTCCCTTCCCTTGTCTCGACGCTGCCGTAGTTCTGAAGACAGGCGTCCCCATTGCCAGCCCCAAGCGAACAGCCATACACGTGTTCCATCCAGGTATAGGAATCTTGGCCCACGTGCCAGTCCGATTGCTCGTCCCTGGTCTGCATGCGAAAGGCAAGATGGCTCGGCGTAACATTCTCCGAGTCGACATAGTACAGGGCCGTGCCGACAATGTGTTCGTTCATTTGCCCCTCGACGTGCCAGCCGCCAGCTGGGAACGACGGCTTGTCCGGGGTGAGCTCGATTGAAGCCATCTTTACAATAACCTGGAGGTCGTCGAAGCGCTCCTGGAAACGGAATTCAGGCTCAACCCCATACTTCCAGGCTTTGAAATCAGGGGCTTCAGGTTGAACGGCTTGTCGCGTCATCTTCCAGTGAACTATCCGGCGAGTGCCAGAGTACGTGTGTCCGTCGCTGTCCTCGGCTTCTGTTTCCCACTCATCATCATCACACTCGTCCCCCGAATCAGAGCCGGATACCGATGCCTCATCATCCTTGTTGGTCTCTTTCTTCGGCACCACCACATCTTCGAGCTCCGGAGTCCAATTGGCTCCGTTTTCATCGCTATTCTTGAGTTAGCTATGTACATATGACTCATGCCAAGATTGAGCTTACTCGGGGTCGGCTGGTCGACAGAATCGAGGCTCCATTCTTCCACCTGATTTCGCACCATTGCGTCGATGAAACTCAGTAATACATTGATCCCAGGCAGGGAGAGCCCTCTCAATCAATTTTTCGATGGTCCTGTAGATATCTCGGTGCTTGACGGGGTGGAGGTTATTGATATAGCTGGTGAATTTGGCGCTCCCGTCTTTCTCGATCTTGACGTTGGAGGGCAGCCACTGATACTCGGTGGACCAAAAAGTAGGGTCGACACTTATTGAGCTGAATGTGACGCTTCGTCCCCATCGCCGAGTCGCGTCGAGGTCTGGCGCGGGTCCAGGCACGGAGATGGCTTCGCCCTTGCCAGCCCACTTGTCAATGGCATCCTCGACGCCGACTACCTCGTCCTTGAACACCCTGGTCCTGCCGTAAACAAGTGGGTGCATAGATGGATGAACCAGGTCTTGGACTTTCTCGTGAGTTCGGGGATGCCAGTCCGGGTTTGCTTTTTGCTCCTCTATGAGCTGAGAAAAGGCAGTCTGGAGGGCGTCATGCAGAGATTCATCCACAAAGCTGTCGGATTTCACCATCGACGCGCTAGCATCCAAGGTTGGGATCAGGCCTGACTTCTTGAAGAACTCGGCCTTCACTTGAAGCTCTTTGATGCACTGCATCGGTCAGCATAGGTAGGTATGGACATGTGAGCATATGACATTGCACAACTGACATAGTCGAGACATCGTTTGTCCAGAATCGCAGGCAGTCTTCTAGAACTCCCATCGCCTGCTTCTTCATCGCTGTCCGGATGCAGGTCCCAGGAAAATGTGTCGTTGACAATCTCATTTCGCAGTTGACCAACCGGGATTGCCAGAGCTTCCTCAGTCCACTTTGCGGTGATAGCGTCATCAAATACTTTGAGGTGCCAGTCCGGCTTGTCGGTGAGACGATCCATAACGATCATCATGGCAACCTCCCGGATCAACAGAAGTTCAGACTTAGAACCATGACAGTTTGCATGGATTCCCATAGGAAATATGATGTTCTCTCTAGGCGTGTCCTGCGTCAGGAACCGGAGGTCCAGTCCGAGTCCAGGGTAGTCCGGCATTGTGAAGGAGGAGGGGGACAAATGTAGTGAGTTCTATAATTGACTGATGACTGTATGTATTCGGCGCTTCTGACGGACGAACTGCGACCTTATATATACTTAATCGGTGAGGGTCGGAAGGAGTTAAACGAGCCGTCGTGAATGACGAGGGACAGGTTAGGCCAGGCACCCGACGCGCTAGCCAAGCCAACGTGCATGAGTGAATTTCTTGTCGGGGATTACTCAATTGAGTCTTAGTGAGGCTTGCGCTATCACGAGAAACATGTCGACCTCGCCCAACAAGAGAATTACAACCATTATCTGAGAATAGTTAGCAGAGCGCTCCTGTAGTTCCAAGAAGAGCTTATCTGCTATAAGGCGGGACCGTATAGTTCTTTGCTATCAATGTATTTGTAGTCTATTGAAACATATTACAAATATCTCACCTTCGACCTAATTGTAAGTTGACAGATTGAAACCGTAAGCGCAAGATGGATGAAAGCCTCATGGGCAAGCCGCTGGCGGGAATGCTATATTAATTCTAGTGTCTGTATATAAGATTTATCAGCTTATATGTCATGAGAAGATATTATTACCAGCTCCTTCCTGGGGTTGCAAACCACGAGTTAAGGTACTAAAAAAAAATTTACAGAATTTGTTTCAAGCAACGCTCGATCTGGGGGTCGAACCCAGAGCCTTGAGGTATAAAGCAGGGTCATTCCAAGGAAGTTTCAAGTTAAAACTTTTCTAGAAGGTTACTAAAAGCCTCACGCTCTGCCAATTGAGCTAATCGAGCTCCTTTTTTGAATCCTGCCACGTCTTAAAACATTATATATAGGCCAGCTAAATCTATATACTATTAATTCTTGCCCGAGCTTAACTAGTGGACTTTAAAGTTGACTGCTCTAGATATAATACATAATATCTACTAGCTATAAATAATAAGTTTTAACTTATATATTCCTTTTATACTTGGGTAATCCGTTTAGTAAACACTGCTTTTCTCCAACTCAAACATGGTCGGAGCATATGTCACCGATTTTTAAGCATGTCTCTTGCCTTATCGATCGGGTTGCTGCTAGGACAGCTTGGGCGCCAACTGGGGCTTATGGCCTGAACTGGAACACCCAATCCTTCGCAAGCTTGGCGTGGATTAACAATAGACTTCAAAGTGTGGCAACAGCCGAAAAGATGTTTATTTACTGAACCTGATGCGTTGTTAGGTTTAACTAGTGGAATGTGTCTGTTCGCTCGTGAGCTTGTTATAATTCCAGGGAAAACTGATCGAGTTGCCGTTTTTTAGAGTGGCCGGACCATTTATGTCATGGCTGAACTGCGCAAGAAGGGAAACGAGCACCTTGTCTATCTTTTCCGATACTGCCGCTTTCCACCTCACATTGGCAAAAACCAAGAGCTTGAGAGACTCCGCAGGGCGCTCGCTATCAACATTGAGTGGCTTGATGCGGAGCAATGGAAGCATTGCTAACTGGAGCGAAGCAAGATTTGGAATCCCATCAGTAAGTCTAACCTTGTTCCTCAGTATTATCGTCGAGGTCTTCTCATTCTTTGTGACGTTGAGCAGATCGACTACTTGGACCGCCCTGATTGGATTCTCTTGGTACTGTAATCAGGCGACAACGGTAAACCATGTCGTTTATGAAAAGAGACTACAAGAACACCATCGTGCAGTTGACGAGGGATCTTGAACCAGACCCGAGTTCTTTTTCATCTTTCGCGAACCCATCAGAACCAATAGCTCGGCATGCCATCGAGGTTGGGAGCTTTCTGGTGCGTATCGTCTGGTCTTTGGGAATAACATGCATCACGTGTGGTTCCTAACATCTTTCACTCGGGGGGCCACACTATTACTCCATTTTTTAAGATAATGGAATAGCAAGGTTACGGAAAGGAGTTATGGGTAATGTTATGTATATTGTAGATGTCAGCTTTTGGGCAGCCTCTCCGTTGTCGTTCGAAAAAACACACAACAGGGGTTGTTTCTATGGGGTTCACGGTTGTCAAGCGTGAAAAGCTGCACTGATATAAGAAACAAATCTCACTCACGGACAGGATCTGCTCTTCGTGTTGACCAGCCACTCTTCACCTCTTCTTACTTGTCACACGGCTCATTCTTTGGCCTTTCGGACTCTCATTTGCTATTTTTCCAAATGAATGCTTCTCAGAAACCGCACTCCAGCCGCTATGCGTGGCTCACACAACCAGATGGTGTGGTGTGTCGCTTTATTGACGAAGCAGAACGATTCTACGCTTCATTCTGCAGATCGCCCCACGATCCAACTATTGCGTCTTTTCCAGTCACCGGCTATGCCTCATTCACCGTCTTAGATGCCACTGGCAGCGATGTTGAAAGAGCGCTGCGATCCGCTTGGACCGCGCTTCGGCAGGAGAATCCATCGCTCAGCTCTTGGATTCAATTCAATTCGCAGCGCGCAGCTTGGCAAAAAATGAATATCTGTTTTGATCCGTCCAAAGACAACTCCACGGAAGAGAATTGGCTTTCTCAAACCTTCAAGACGGTGGTCTCGGAAGCGGGTGACGACTGGCTGAGCCATGATCCGCCGGTGGGCAAGCTGCCGACTCTCTTCTTGGTCCAACCCTCGACTCAAGACAACCGGAATAGTTGGAACGGCGCAGTATATCTGAGATCTCCCCATGATGTGGTTGACGGTGTCGGCGTCTTGCATCTTCTCAATCGCCTGTTCGAACACGCGAGGGAGAGTCATTCTGGCATTGCCACCACTCCAAACCCCGCCAACGACGAGATCAACCGCCTGTCGCTGCCTCTCGACGCTATCACCGGAATCCTGGAACATGCCACTGAGCAGCAGAAAAGTCGCTTCCAGGACCTTTTGGCCCAAAATGCCACCATCCAGACTGAGAAGCCATTGATTGGTCTTCCTGTTAGAGACATTACATGCAGTCAGCCAAGAAACATCCAACGGGCGACAATCAGTCTTTCGGAAGACATGTCAAGACATCTCTTAAAGCAATGTAAACGCCACAATGTTACCATCACGCACGTAATGAGCGCTGCTGTGGTCATGGCCCTCCGAGACTTGCAGCCTCTCGATCTGGAGACGTCTTCTGTGCGGTATTCGAACCAAGCCTTGATCAGTCTTCGACACCTTTGCAAGCCACCATTCGGTTCATTTGCGATGGGGAATTACCACATGATCGCACCCGAAGCCATGGCAATTGATGTCACTTCTTCTCACTCTAAACCGCCGCAGCAAACTCCTGCATCAGAACTACTTTCTACTGCACACCAGTTTCGCCATTATTATACAAGTGTCCGAACAGGCTTGAATGAGTCACCTCATGATTATCTGGCCTTTGCGCGCATGACTTGGGATCTGTTCACGCCGAAAGAGTCATCTGTGCCGCCACCGCCGCTTAAAACTGCCGCTGTCGCCATTTCATCGCTAGGAGACCTTTCTACAATTTTGAAGGGAAACTATGGATCTTTCGAACTTACAGATGCGTGGGTTGCCGGCGAGCCGTTGGGAACAGGTGTAAGTACCTTCTTGCAAACCTGGTCGGGCGTCATGAGCATCTCTATGCTGTTCAATTCGGCTGTCCATGATAAGGAATACATAGAGGCATTTCAGCAGAAGATCGTGGCTTACTTGGTTGAAGGATTGGACATGGATTAATCTCGAAGTTCACTGCGCAGAATATGGTTCCGTTGTTGAGACTCATCGTCATCCACAAAATACGCGATGCGGCGCCCTAGGACAGCTATCTTGGTATCTGCACACGACAGTCTTAATAAGCGAACACATTCATCTTCGCTTGAATCTTTGCCGCCAGATGATATATGTGATATAATGACCCATGTTTCCATTAACCATGAGGCAAGGAAAATATCACCGGGCTTTATACCGAAAGGTAACAACCATGACTGGGGCAACCGCTCGGCGTGAAATTCACGAGGACATGCCCATCTCTTGCAAGATTCCCGCCGATAAATGACACCATGATAGCCAAGGAGTGATATTAAGTAATACATGTTACGTCCGTCCACTGACTCTGTAATGATAAATGATGAGTAACAGCAAGGCTGATGTTCATGTTGCTCTTGAGTTCCTGCAAGACCCTAACTCGGTAAAGGCTGTTCTAACCACCACTTGGGCTGACTAGAGTCACTGTGCTCTGAGCCAGTTACCAACATAGAGGACCTCAACTACCTTTCACGAAGAGTTACTCTAATAACTAATCTAGGTATATTAGTAATGGTGAATGGAAATATATTGAGTCTGCCACCAGTATTATAATATATCCCAAGGCTATGAACACGTCACTCACAATCGTAATAGCTATTAAGTTAAATAAATGGTCGAAGAGAAATGTGCAATGGATCGGGATCTTATGCAACAAGATAGATACCAGTCAATATAGACTACTAGACACTCTCCTCAACACCCATGGCACGCCAAAACAAACGTGATTTGAAACCACTGTACGTACATTATACCCATGTACCAAGACTCGCCAAACCAGTACTTACTACACCACCGCGCTACCTAGTACCAACGAAATCAGGCAGTTCTCTCGCGCTGCCATTAGCCTACTATGCTTAAAGCGAGGGGGAGAATCGAGAAACCAAGCTGTTCAACAAGGTTAGCACACTGGGCATCAGATTCTTTATCGAGTGAGGTCTCACCACTAGATATGCGCCCGGTCCAAGACTAACAGCACCGCTGGATGGCATGCTCATTGTGGCCGTTGTAGTGGCCTCACTTCCCGAGTCTCTGTCACTCGCTGCGGTGAGTGCAGTGGGCTGGCTTCCCGAGTCTCTATCGCTAGCTGTCTCGTCTTGTTCCGAATCGATCGTAGTCGTTGCTTTAATAACCGGGAGTGATGAAGGGACCTGACGCTTGTCTTTGCAGTACTCGTCGTAAATGCTCACAGCAGATGAGAAATCGGCCGTGTTGCTGCAATGGTGTATAACACATGTAGACAGCCAAGATACGGCCGAATCTCGAAGATCGCGACGGCAATAACACGCATCTTTGGCATTACCCTCGCAGGTCACCTGAGGACAGCATTCGAGCTTGATCCCCAGCACATCTTGTGCATTTGAGTTGTTGGGATCTCCATTCCAGAAACAGACGGTAGCACATGAACGCTGCTGCATGTATGCATCAATGGATGCAATTGTTTGCGTGGCGTCGGAAGAAGCCGATGGTAGAAAGTATGCAAGATTAATCAGCAAATACCAAACAGACATGCTTGCTTGCTTGCTTGCTTAGGTCGAGCTTTGGACTCTATGCGGGTTTTAATACGTGGTAAAATTGCGTTGAAGTTCTGAAGGGATGTCATTATGGCAGGAGAAGGGAGCATTGGTCGAGTATTCGTATTCTTGAAGGGGGGATCGTCTTCGATGGCCGGATGGGAGAATTATTGTCTAGTCTAGAATGTGATTAGTTTTAGTTTTCAGCTGCAACGCCATGGCTGAACTATCGAAGGTGGCGGAATGCACATGTCCGAAAGTGAAGGCCTGAAAAGCAGCAAGTAGGCAGTCGTCCTGCGCTAACATGGACGGTCTGGAAAGCGAGGCGCATGAGATGATGTCTGGCTTACACCGCTGAAAATGGATCTTCAGAGCTGCGAATGATTCTCTGTAGGGATTGCAGCTAATTGTTTGTATTATACCTATGTGAGTTAATTGTTATACAGTATGCCTTGGCTGTTGCTTGTGCGGGTTGCTTCGCCAGGACGGGGCCCTGCCTTTCAGTCACACAATCGCGTCGCAACCCTCTTAGCTTTCAGCTC